TCTTTGTTAGAATGAGAGGAACTACCTTTGTTAGAATGAGACTGAAGGTGTCTGTTTCTTTTCCCATTGACTACTCATGGAGTATACACTAATTATCTCAGACTTAGATGTATGACTTTTAAGCTGCAAGCTAGGACAGATGATTCCCACGCTAATTCTCCTTCTTTTCCTCCTTTTTTAAGATGTCTCAGTATCCTATTTCTAATCAGCACAGGATGAGTCAAGGGTGCACACCCTTGTTACTTCATCCTATCCCCAAAATAACCCTTCAGCTGTGCACGATTTCTCTGGTCCCCAGTCTGCATTGCTGCATTACACCACAGCATTCCTTAGCAGATTCCCCACAGGACACTTGCTAGTTGTGTGGAGGGATCAGACAGCTGCAGGGAAGCGCCTGTTGTAGAGAGTGGTGGGGGAGTGAGGCATGTCCTGAACTTCACATGAGGACTTCACTGTTTTCAGGGCTGACATTTTTCCCTTTGACAAGACTTGCACAGCAACTGGTGGTACTGCTGGGCTGTGTTCACTGGGAAATACCCCAACATGAATCTCTACTGGTATATCTTTCCCATAAGATGCAGCAGTCACAGCCGTTAAGCTTCTGCACCAACACAGCACCAATGCTATCCATTTTCATTGTAAGACAAAAGAAAACCTATTTGATTTAGGTCAGGCTTACTTAGGTCAATTGTCATTTTACCAACTGGCTGCCTTCCAGCACTGGTGTATACACCTTCATATCACTTCTCAGCAGCAGAAACATCCTATTCTCCCCAATGTACAGATGGGTTCCTGAAGCAGATTTCATCTTCTCCCAGGCAACAAAGGGAGGGTTGAGAAAGTTACATGGGAACCAGAGCACAGGAACTTTGCCAGCCTGGAAATGAAGCCTGGGAGAGCCCTTTCTGTGGGATGGTGCATCATGTTGCTCACAGAACCACAGAAAGGCCTAGTTTCACCTGTATGCTGCTCCTGTAAATGTGAGATGCTCATTTGGGCTCTACATCTTTCTTAGCTGGTAGTTTATGGCACAGATTCATGCAGTACAGGAAAACTGGATTCCAATCTGTAACCTATAAGGAACTAGATTCAATGTTTGTATTTTTGGAAGAGAAGGTTAAACTGATCTGCCAAGTGAAATAAAGTACTGCCACCTCTGAAAAGCTCATTACCCAGTCTAGAGCTGTCTGCCATTAGTGTGACACCTATATGTGAAGAGATAAAACTGTTGCAATTAGCTATGATTCTAGTCCACGCACTTTACATCTGCTTCCAACCAGAGTTAGTTCAAAGTACAGTTTGTGTTTGACACCAGTCTGGCAGCAACAGCAGAAGTTTAATAACACAGAGGTTCATTTATTTATTAATTATTTGCCTGCTACTGTGTCCGTATCATATTTTTAAAAAGGCCTGCACAGCATCTTGCTCCACTGGAAATATATTAAGGGTAAATTATGCATCTCATCTTTATCAGTCGAGATGGAATAGCATAGCAATCAGGGAAACTGTGAACTATACCACCTAGTCAGTTTTTACACACAGAACCCATTAAACAGAGTATTTAAGCAATGAAATATCTTGCTTATCATTAATAATATCCTGGATATGAGGGAGCTCATCACCTGAGTTCTCTGGAGCCTGTGGTTATGCTACATAATTACTTAATAATCAGTCACACAGTCAATGCTTACTCAATAAACATTTTAATTTTATTCTATTGTAGAAGAAAAAAAAAATCAGTGGTGCTATACTGATTTATTAAAAAACTCAAAGAAATCCCTTCTTAAATCATGAGACTTTACAAAAAACAGGGTTTTTTTTTTGAAATAAGAAATGTGTATTTAACAGAACTTGAGGTTTTAAATTTATATTTTCGTTTTCTTTGAAATAAGAAATGTGTATTTAACGGAACTTGAGGTTTTAAATTTATATTTTCCAGAAACAATATGGGTAAATACTTAAAATGCCTTAGTTATCTCAAAATCACAACTCGTCTGAAATCAGTGGAGTTACATGAGTAACCATGTAAGGGGAGCATACTCTTAAGTGCCAAGTTAGGATATCAAATTTCCCAGTCCACCAATTAAAGACACTTACTATACCAGTATCTCTGGAATCCCAATCCTGTGCTACAGGAAGGAGTTTGGCCAGACTCAAACCCTCACCTCTGTCCTGTCTTCCTCTGGTGTTTAGCTCCATTCAGTCACGACTGTCAGCAATTCAGTTTCCCGTTTTTGTTTTCAGAGTCATGCAGTTTCCATGTATGATGTACAGAGACTTAGAGGAGACAGAATTTACCATGAAATAGTTGGCAATGTTACAAAAGATCACCCTGTTGTGAAATCGGGGGAAAACCAGACATCACTCCACTCCTATATCTACTTTAAATAAACTCAGCTCTGCGATTCTGTCTTCCGTGCCTAAAATAATAGATTATAATATGCTTTTAAGGATAAATTAATCCTAAATGTGCTGAAATATTCATGTAGAAGATATTGTATAAAGCCATATAACTGTTCATTGCTGTAAAGGTAAACAAACTGCATTTCACAACACACCATGATAGCAGTAACAAAAGCCCACGCAAGATAAATCCAGGAATTTCAAAACACTCATCCACCCAAAACCACCAAACAAAACAAAAAATTCCTACATGGTATGGGAAAGCTAGAAAAGTAAAATTTTTATTCAGGTGCAAAGAGACAACACTTTTGAAACCTAAAACTATATTTTTGCTGTTGCAAAGAAACTGGAGTCATCAAACTTAATCATCAGGTTTGTCCTTATTTTCAGAAAGGCAGGAAGAAAATGAAATGCCAAGTAATTCAAAGAGTAAGAGTACAGAACTATAACCACTTTGCACAGCAAACATTACAGCTGGATGCAAAATCTGCATGGTCAAACACATGTTTTTGCACTCAATTATCACACTACTAAGTTTCAAATCCTGAGATTGCTCCTGGCAAGCTGAAACAGGGACTTAAAAAGGGCATAGTCTGCTCTATGTAATGACCTCTCTCAGGTCATTATTGTACCAAACTGTACCAATAAATGTCTCTTTATAGGCTTCCAAAAAAGTATCTTTTTAAGTCCTCAATGAGGACTACACGTGAAGGAAGCATCCAAGTCTCCTACTGGGAATAAATGCTGTTCTGCCATATTTGTGAAATGTTTCCAGTTTTTCTGAGGTGCTGCAGGGACAAGACTTGAGTGCACTGACTAACATTTTATTCAGACAGCAGTAGTAAATGTCTGCTACATGAATCCAAGAACTGGATCTTCTTTACTACTGCAGATGTCCCTTGTCTTTTATGCCAACAGGACCATTATGGCAATTTCCCCCTGCTTCCTTCTCCACAATGACAAATGCCAGCACAATCAACATTTGGAAATTTTCCATGTGAAAAACAGGAACAGAAGAATGCTAACCTAATCAGCTGTGCTATGCTTCCAACTGTGGCTGTGAGGAAAAAAACTGGCCAGGCAGACCACCCTGCTTATGAAAGAATGATACCAGGTGCATCATGGTAGCATAAGAAATATCTATAATGAATTTCATACTATCTAACAGAAAAAAAATGAGGTTTCCATACTGAATATGCTGCACCATGCTGCAGGTCTTTTCTCTCTGCCTTTTGGAATGACACCATTGGTCTTTTTGTATGAGTTTAATTACAGCCTCACTTTAATGCTGCCAGTAATAAGGAACTATTAGTACTGCTCTTAAAGAGGCAAAAGGCTTTATTATGTACTGCAAAGAGCTAGGGATGCTCTTGAAAATAGTAAAGGCCAGACAAGCAATCACATTTGCTCTGCCAAGAGCTTTTAAGATGTAACACAGAGGCTTGAAGCTTCATTATCAAAACACTTTTCCTGTCACCACTTAAAAAAATTCTGCTGAAGTTTAATGACTAAAATGCAGGTAATAAAACTGCAACAACAATTGCATTCTTAAGAATGAAAATACAAAGTAGTTCTACTTTCACTGAAGAGAGGACTTTAAGGACTGACACTATTTTGGACACTAAAAGTACAGAGAACAGTGCCACTGAAATATACATTGAGATTTTTATGGAATCCAGACTGTGGATACAAAGGTTCATCCAACAGTTCAAATTTCAAATAGCAACATACCAATATCAGGTATAGCATGTGTATTGTGGTTAAAATAATCAGCCCCTCCACAAGACAGGCCCTGAAGAATCCTTAATAAAAAGAGCTCAATTTTTTTGTCATTTCTACTCTTTACTAGTGCCTAAAGTAGCTGGAAATGATGCTGTGCTTCTAAACCATGCAGACAGGAAGTGGCAGTCAACAAAGGGTCTGTGGCAACTCAGCTTTTAAAAAAGTTTTGTTTGGAGGTGTTTTGTCTTCTGTGCTGTAGTAAGAAAGCTCTGCACCAACTTTGTACTATAAAGGGACTCTACTGTATGGTATCATGTAAGAAATCAGAATGGCTAGCAATGCTGTCAGTCTTTAAGAGCCAAATGAAAGGCATGTTCAGCTGTACCAACATCAGTCTACTTGAGAGGCTCTCTTTGCTGCCTGTTCTGAATGGGGATACCCTAAGATGGAATTGTATTACTGGCTTGGGTAGTGACACAGTACTTCAGGTTACATCAGTTTGCCTTTTTCTTCTTCTTAGCTGAGAGGTCAAAAATGTTAGAGGCTTGTTTGTTTTCCATGGTTGCTGTGCAGTCAGAGTTCAAGGATCTACATAGTGTATAAAGACATTAAATGTTCTCCAAGACTTCCAACTCCTTCACACCCAGAATCACTGATATAAACCAGAATGGAATGGGACACAGATCATCAGTACAAAGATGGCAACTAGAAGAACAATTCCATTAGGCAGAGGAAAATTAAGGCTGCCAAGAAGACATGCCAGTCTGGGTTTGGTATTACAATAAGGCTTGAACACTTTCATTTTCAATTTAGAAAATTGTGGTTAAATACATTTTTTTTTTAAGTGACTGGAAGTTCTTAGCATTAAGATTAAATCAGTGCTTTAGCTGTGGAAGCTGGTTCACTCCTACAGTCTTTGTAATTGATTGTTTTTGAGGATTAACCATCTTCGAGTTTCCTGGGACACTGTCTCTCCCTCTGAAATAAAATGGGTGAAGTTAGTTATCAAGTATCACATTCCCTGTAAGCTTTAACTGCTAGAAATGTGCATGTTTTTTATATTTACATATCTGATTACTATTATGAATTAATAAACCTGAGAGAGGAGAAAACAAGTATATTTCTGTGTTTGCAGGTCAGTAGAACATCTAATTATTCTGCATACAAACTCAGTCTTCATCTCATGATTCCTGACTACTTCCTGTTACCTAAGTGATGGCATTTGAAGAACTTGAATGGAATACTAAACACTGGCACCAGGAAAATGATAACTGGCTAAGGAGACATTTTCATCAGCTAAAGAACTCCCACCAGGAAATGGAGAAACACTTCATGTAGATGTAGCTAGAGTTCTCTGCAGGTATTCCAACCCTGGAGCCCCAGGCTCTTGAGCTCATGATTGTAAGAAATGCCCATAAGAAATGCTGCCAGCAGATTTTGAGTGGTTCTCATCATGGATATATACACCATCTGCATGAAACCTACTAGAAATTCATCTTGATCTTCTGAGAAGTCTGTCGCAATGTAAACAGATGTCCAGATTAAAGTGTAGGCCACTGTACAGCTGGACCAAGCAGATGGAAAACATCTGTGTGGAATTCTGCAGGCAGCAAAGCCTCTTTCCACACAAACCCAGCTGAACTTATGGACTCAGAAGCCATAGCTGCAGCAGTGTGGTATTGAAATTAAGCTAATAAGCCCCATTATATGCCTCAGTATAACAGTAAGGGCTCAGAATGATAATAAATTGGCTGCTCAGATTGCATCAGAGCCATGAGCCATCAAGACATTCATGTTCTTCCCAACTGCCAGATAGCCTATCTTCTTGTCCTGAAGAACTTGGCTCCATGTTGGGATGGCCTGGAAACTGAATGCATCAACAATTAGTGTTGCTTTAATATACAGGTTAGGTTTTCCCTACCTGTACCTATAGTTAAAACAAAACTTACACACAGTTTCTTATTATGACATGAAATCCAATGAAGGCAGTTTGTGAAAGGGCAACAGAAGTGAGATAAGAACTCTGACAAAATTTTCACATTATTGTCAAGAACATGTTTAATTTCAATCATGCAGCTCTTCTCTTATTTGAATGAAATTAGTCCTTATTAATGTCAGTTTGAACAAACAACCTTCAGGCTGTAAATCAAAACATAATTAAAAGGAATAATATAACAATAGCTGTGGTAACCTTGTGGTGATCAAGGGGTGCATACTTACATTCTAATATTTTCTTAAAATACAAACTATGCCAAATCCCCATTCTTACCCCTATGTTGCCAACTACGACCAAAGCTTGTCCTTAAAGTTCTAAGTCACTGCTAATAAAAGACAATGCTTTGCACACCAGGCCCTTTGCTACTAAGGACAATTTAAAAGATGAACGATTGCCTTCATGTGTTTAAAGTACTTTGAAAAGTTTTTTAAAAATCATCATAGGGAAAATGGGTTGAAAGGGGATATTTTGTTACAACACACATCTTCTGAGACAGCAGTTACAAGACACTTTCTTTTCTTATGTTTGATATTAAAAAAATTGCAGAAACACACTGCCATATCATTTCAGGGTAAGTAATGGTCTACTAAAATTAATTGTAAAAAAACCCCAACATAATTGCATATTGGTGCAAACCCCCAGCAAACCTCAATATTTGGCTGATTATATTTGATCTCCCAGCAGAGGCAGTGACTTCTCCTGTTTCTAGCTTTCTGACCTTCTCCACATGAGCCATCACTGGGGCCAGAAGTGACACTGGCATACAGGGCACTTCAGACCCATACAGTGCTTTTTCTGTGTTGAGAAACTTCAGTTATGGAATTTAATTCAGATTGTACTACATTAATTCATAGTCTACTAATATCCTCTCCTGGAGCATGAAGATTCAGTATTCTGATTTATGAAACCCTGTGACTCTGTGCTTACGTGGAATGAAAGGATAAAGCTGGTAAGCAAATACATCTACAAAATTTCACGCTTATAATTTACTCATTACATTTTCAGATGATTCCAATATATATTGTGTATGCTTGTTTTAATAATATAGGTAAGTGGGTTCATTGAAGAGTATTTACTGTGAGATACTAAATATATAGAAACCACAGGAGCTCAGGAAGTCTCCAAATATAAAGTATTTGGAAGAGTTCCAAAACCAAATATTATATCTGCTTGCATACACACTTTTGTAGGCACCTGCTCTCAGCCTACAGGCAGGTTAGTGGGTCCAACAAAGTTTTGGTATGATTCCCTATATTCTTCATACTTTATGTTCTTAACATTTTCAGTTCAGTTACAAAACAAACCTCCTCCAATTTCAAGCATTACAATTAGAAATTAATTTTGTTTCTATATAGCTCAGAGCAGGTGGGCTCTTCTCAAATTTATATTTCTAACCCACATAACTAAACAGAAATCTGTTAAACAAAGAAACCTTTATATGTTGACATCTAAAATCACTCACATTATCATGCACAAAAAGCTTGACAATCTGTTGGCCAGAAAGGACCTAGCAAGGCATTTATTTAATTCATTTATTCTTAATGTACTAAAGGGTAACTTGTTGCTCGACTCTGCTGAAATACAAAAAAAGGCTGAAAGGAAAGATCATCAGAGGTATTTTAAGGTTTCAAAAAGGTCACTTAAATACATGTAGCTTCAACATTGTAACATATTCAGTATTAAATAAAACTGATGGAAAAGCAGTATTGAAAATGATGTTAGGAGTAGTACTTTATGAGTGGGATAATACTCAGTGATATCTACCATGAACAGAAAGTTGCAATGTTCAAAACACAGTACTTAGCAAAAAATAACAAACCAGAAAACAGAGGGAACATAAAGGAAATTTACCTCAGTATCTGTTTTTCTCCCTTGCCAGCCAGAGCATCTGGTTTTTGCCTTTCAACAATTTTAAGTGTAGCTGAGGTCTGCAATAGCCAAATTTTTACAAAACAAGTTAAATCCAACCACAATCACAGTTAAGGAAGTACATATTTCCAAACTAATTTTGACCTACTATGGCATTACTGACCTAAAGTACTTTACACATATATTATAGTGATGCCATGACAATTTGGGGAATTGAACAGATGCCAAAATCTCTTGCTGTGCAAAAATACCATTATTTATCAAGCTGGATGATCGGAGAATATGTCATTTCAAACAGCACATTTTTGGTGATTCTGCCTATAACTCCACATTTTCAATGAAGAAGCATTATATTTCTAACATACTTACTTCCCTGAATGCAAAGAAAAACAAATTCTAGCCACTTAGTTATACTTTCGAATGATAAAACCACTAAGATCAGGAACTACTTAAAAAAATTAACACACATTACAACATTGTATCTTATAGCATGTGTGAAAACATCTTGCACTTGTTAGAAAAAAAATCTGGCACTGAAAAGAAGCATATCTCACTGCTTACAAGACAATGGTTTCTACTGTGCTTCCAGGCACTAGGCAAGTATGCCTGCCCCACTCACACCAAAGTCAGCTATAACTAAAGCAGAGTCTTTTCAGAGTTCAGACATAAAAATGCAACAGGACTTGCACAGATTTACTTTCTTGAAGGCAAGAAATTTTTTCACTTGAAGAAAAGATGATGCCTAGTATAATTTATCATATTATCTGAGCAGATGTGATTCTGTTACATGAGGCAAGACCTATGCCATGATTGCCTCCACTGTTTCTTTTAATCTATATGACTATAGAGTGCCAGTACATACGATTCTTATCCACAGCACAGTTTTTGCTGCTACAGTTTACTTCAGGCCTATCCCAACTAAAATGACCTGCTGTTGCATAAGCAGCTTTCCAGCTGTACATATCTATAATCATGGGTTTTTCTGCAAAGAAATCCCCATCATGAGTCAAATTCTACTATGCTAGTAAAGGTTTGTGGCAAAGATATGGCCTGAAAGAAAGGCCTTTTTAAAGAAGGCCTTTGCTGCTTGCTTGCTTCTCAAACTGATTTCTGAATATGACTAGAAAGTGCTTTGAGACTTGTGGACTCCAAATCCCAGTTTACTCAGACTGAAAACAAAACAAAAAAGAAAACAAGAATACACCATAAACCATTGGTGTCTCTAACATGAGTTCTCAAATTCACTGTATCCTTATGGATCCAGACAAGATAAACAACAAAAGCACTCAAGATATTTTTTATAAAAAGCAGAAAAGTGTTCAATAATAGAATCATATAATCACAGAAATTCAGGGTTGGAATGGACCTTACAAATCATCTAGTCCCAACCCTCTCTGCCATGGGCAAGGACACCTCCTCACCAGATCGGCAAAATAAAAAGATAAATAAAAGAAATGGCTGCTCAGAAGCAACTCTCTCTTTTGCTTCTCCCACAGGCATCAGGAGGAATCCAAAACAAAACAGAAAAAACCTGAAATGTGGGATTTTTAACACCTACCAGTAAAAAAATTCCATTCTATGATATTTTTTTCCTGTGAGCTATAGAAAATTAGAAACATAATTTGGGAAAACAAAGTCTTAAAAGAACATTATTTCCATTCTCTGCAACTAAGAAAGTGTCACTGAAATATACTGTTATCACAGGATAGCAATGCCCTGTACTATATTTACTTTAGAAGGCATGGAAAATGTTAACCTATGGGTAAATCCTTCTAACTCAACTGCTGCCAATAGTAGTGTGAAGACTCTAGAACACTGACATTTTAATTCAACTGAAAGAGTCTGGTCTGAATGCAAGTTTACTTCTGCATCTCTTGTAAAAATGAACTGTTAAAAGAGAGGTTATACATATACAGATGTTAAAACAACATAAAAACAACAATCAAATCGAAATCATAGCAGAACAGGACCTGAAGGGACCAGATAAACCAGATTCTTTTCCAACCAACAATCAGCCATAGAATCATAGAATACGTCAAGTTGGAAGGAACCCATAGGGATCAGCAAGTCCAACACCCTGTTGTTTGCAGGGATACCTAAAACTAAACTGTATGACTAAGAGCATCATCCAAATGCTCCTTTAACTTGGGCAGACATGGTGCCACGACCACTGCCCTGAGGAGTCTGCTCCAGTGATTGACTACTCCTTCAGTGAAGAGCTTTTTCCTAATGTCCAGTCTGCACTTCCTGTAATGCAGCTTCTTTCCCTTTCCTCATGTCTCTGTTGCTGGTCACCACAGAGAGATCAGCACTTCTCCCTTTGCTGCCTGTCTTGAGGAAGGTGTAGACTGTGATGAGGTCACCTCTCAGAGATGAGGTCACCCCTCAGCCTTCTCTCATCCAAGCTGAACAAACCAGGTGACCTCAGCCGCTCCTCATAAGTCTTGCCCTTGAGGCCTTTCACCATATTGTTTGCCTTCCCTGGGACACACTCTAATAGTTTGATGCCCTTCTTATACTGAGGTGCTTAAAACTGCACACAGTAGTTGAAGTGGGGGGACCTGCACCAGCACAGTTAGGTTGACTACCATACTCAGATTAGCAATGTAAAAGGTAGATGTCCAATCTAAACTACGCACTTAGGCTCTGCTTATACTCAGGAAGAGGCACAGAAAAGTCCCCAAGAAATTAAGTTTATCTTGACCTAAAGCAGATGTGATGGTCTGTGCCTTAGACATGATTCTCTCTATAGAATGTAGAGGATGCTTCTTTAGAGTGGCTACTTAACATCTAGAGAACTAAAGATAGGAATATCAATCTGAAGATTATTATTTTGCTCTCATATGATTCTGAAATCATGTGAGCAAATAATTGATTGGTGAAAATATATTGCACTGCCTTGACTGTCAATGGCAAAAATCGTAGTCCCCAATGCCCCATTTAAGCAACATGCCAGTACATACACCTCACTTCAAACAATGTTTTATGCATGTTTAAGTGCTGTTCTAGGGAGCTGAACATAGGCACTCCTCTTGCTAGCATGTTCAGTAATAAAACATCTTTTATTTCCTACCTTCTTTCTCCAGAAGTTCCCAGTTTCACTGTTAATGCCAAGATACTAGCAGTTATCAACGGGCATTTCCTGAGGATTTTTTCTTGGTTTCATGCTGGAAAGTTAGTTTAAGCAATTCTTTCAGATTTCCCAAAGCAGCAATGAACCATGTAAGAGAATCAGTTGCCCACTGTGCAAACACAAATTACAGCCTTTCACCCCAGTTAGCTATGGCAGCGATTCAGTGACAGCCATTCTAGAGTATCACACTGAGCTATTACTTTTACATTATTGACGAATTAAGAGCCTTTCCAGAGTAAGAAGTGCTATAAATCTTTTCAGATTCCTTTACAGGTTCCTCCAGTTTGCAGTATCAAACTTGATGTATTACATGATTTGCAGCAATAAAATGTAACCTGTGATTTCACCAAAACAAGGTGTCTTACCCTGATCTTATAAATTCAATGGAAATATATGCTGTATTGTCATTCTGAACTGGTTCACTAGCTTGTCTTTAAAAGGAAAAAAGTTGGGTGTCAATGTTGCTAGTAATTTGGTTCTGTTCAACTGAAACATTTAACTAGCGTAGCAGTCTTGAGACTAATGGATGGGCAAGCGTCAGAAAATTTCTTCATCTTTCTCAGTTAAGGACACTTTGATTGCTAGGGAACAATGAAACTCCAATTTATACAAAAGCAAAAAAGTATTTAAAAATAAACTGCAGCGATCTTTCAATTTATAGCTCTTAAAAATTTTTCAAAGCACCGTTAGTAGTGGATTTGGTATATGAATGAAGTGATAAAAGATTTTGACCTCATGGCATTAACAGATGTTGTTGCTATATTAAGAAAGTGTAATGATTTTTAAAAGTTACTGAGTCACACATTTTTCTTACCTGTAAGATCTCTGAGAGGTACATGCGCCGCTCATCATTCGCTTTGTGGTAAGCCTACAGTTAAAACAGGGGAAACAGGCTACCATTAAGCAAAATATTTCAAAGTTGAATCATACAGGAAGAATCAAATTATACTGCAGAAAATTTTTGCTGTGACAGATTTTGTGGAACTATTCTGTTGTGTGTTCCACAGACACTGTCAGACAGCATAATGGCTTTTATAGATTAGAGGCATACAGTGATTACAAACCTTTGCTTCTTGTTCCAGTCTAAGTTCATAGTCCTTTAGCTGATGCTGGAGACTTTTCTTCTCTTCTTCTAGTTGTTTAAGAACCTCCTTTAAAGAACCCTGTGGTTACAGTAAATAAAACAATGTTTTACAAATATTTCCATTCTGTATAAAGATGTCATCACCATATTCCTTATTCTTCAAGCACTATGATATCTGTTATTCTCTTTGGTTCTTGTGCACTTTTTGTGCACATGGCTCTGGCACACTGGAGAGACAAAAGCAATCAACCATATGTTACAATTATCAGTTATGCGCTACATATTTCCACTGTGTTAAAATGATGCGGGTACAGTTTTCTACACTCCTGCTCCTTGACAGATTAATGAAGTCACCTGATGGTGACCAGTCAGAATTGCTCCTTAATTCTAACCAAAATTCACTCTGATGGTTCCCTTTTTGTAGGAGGAAGATTTCAGATTTTACCAGCACATCTATTTTCAAACCACTTGCTGAGAGAGCTGCTGGACTGGCTGAAGAGGCACATGGGATGTCAAAGGTAACTCATACCAACTTGGCTAGAAAGCAGTATTTTGTGGAGTCTATCTGTCCTAGATGTGGAGCCATCTACCTTGTCTACAACTGGGATAAACTAGAGTAATAGCAGTAGAGTCCATGGCTACTGGCCCTGACCAGTTCTTTCCTTGCTGTGTAAAGACAATAAAACACACACCCAAGCAGGCTGTCCTCCATTTCTAACACAGTAAACTGCTTCTCATACTCCCTTCATAAACTGATCCATTCCATCCAGTAAAGACATTATTATAGTAGGCTCTAATATAGACAACTTTTTAAATTCCTTATCTTAGAGTTTCCTCCTCCAAGTTCAGGAACGATGCATTCCAGCAATGTGGAAGTTGGGCAAGCACACCAGGAGGCCTGTCTAGATGAACAAGGGGCTCCCAGACAAATGCACATACAAAATAAAGAAGCCTAGAGAGGGTGGAAACATGAACAGGTAGCCTGGGAGGAATACAGACTGTCCAAGCACTTAGGTATCAGGTTGGGAAAGCTAAAGCCCTAACAGGTGATCAGCCCTCAATTCATAACAGAATTTCTTTACTATTTCCTAAATTCTTTGGTCCACAGTATTAAATTTAATCCCATTTTTAATAATACAGTCTTCAGTGCCTTTCTTTTTCTAAACAACATCTGGATCCCAATTATATTACATAATTGGTTTCAGGAGAAAGATGTCATACTCTAATTTTACTTTGCATATCAAGGTCATGCATTAAATATTAAGATTTGTCTTACACCTGCTCCTGGAAGAACTCTACTTGCACTCTCCCAGCAGACTCCTTCACTAATCACCACTATCATGTTCCATTTGCCAGCTCTTTACTCCTTCAACAAATGTACTCGTTTTCATTTTATCTAAATTAATCAGTGGCTTCCCATGTGACCTGGTATCTTTATCAGAGGTCACAGTGAACAAGATTACTATATTTATTGTGACAACAAATCTATTGTCTAATCACAGAATGTAAACAGGTTTGCCCACCATGAGCTACTTTTAATAAATCCATATTCCAGTTTCATTTTGCAACAACTACTCCTCTCTTTATCTTAAAACTGAAAAAAAAATTGTTTTTCTCCAGCGCAGAGAATGCACACAGCTTTATTAAAACCACTTGCTATCAGATCAGTGATGTTGCAAGCCAGTTCTTTCAGAATCCTAAGGTATGGATTACCCATTTCCCTCAATTTAAGCATCTCCAGCTCCTTGAATTTTCCTTGGGATTTGGTTAGTGTCATTTCCTCTTCCAAGCACTTGCTAACATAAGCTTTTTTTTCCATTGTCCTGCATTTTACTGTTTCTGCCTTTACTGAAAACTTAGGCAATACATACATGTTTAATTTAAAGTGAATGAATTCATGATCACTTGATCTGACAAGTTTTTGGACTGCCTTTTCTGCAATATTCTTGTAGATTTTTACAATCTTAAATAGCAGTCCCTCCTTTTTATCCAGTATTTTCTTACAAAATGCGTTAATTATCACATCCACAGAGATTTGTGTCTCATCATTATTACCAGCACTTGGGTTTTAGATTTTAAAGTATTACATATGATACAATTTCTGGCAGTAATGTAACAATATTATATCCAAATGCATCCATCCAAATGCTATAATTATATCTTTATTTGACAGTATGGATAGGATTCATTCTGACATGAGGATATCTACATTTGAGTGTCCATGTGAGAACTGAGCTCCTACCAAGAGTCACAGTCAAAACAATCAATGATGCACAGTGATACATTCGACCAAGCAGCTAAGGAGCTCAACTCAGTTGCCTTCTGAGATGTTCTAGAGGGTCCAAGACATTCATGTATGTCAGATATGACACAAGACATATGTCTTTCTGGAGCAGTAGTGAGCTATTCTGCACTGAAACACCTGCAAGACACTTGGTGTACACAACTATTGGACTGAAGATGCCAACCTAGATAAATCTAGCCACAAATCTCTATACTCAGCTGACTGTATTAAAGAGATTTGCATTGCCTGTAAGTAGAAATTAAAAGACCTAGCCAAGAGTTAGACATCTATATATAGAAAAGGAAATATTTGTGTCCTAATATTTGAGTCATATTGTTTCAATGTATATTTCAATATTATTGGGACCAAACCATGTTTTCCTATTCATCCTCAAAATTAATTAATCCAAACAGCTGAGGAAGAAAGAATGACATTAATGTAGCAGTCTCTCACATTTCCTGCATATCACATCTATCTGTTTAGTTCTTTCCTGAGAAGTGTGTATCTTTAACACTTGTTATCCTTTCATGTTTTCATTATCAATGCTATTACATTCCTGGCTAGTCAGCCTCTTCCATTTGTCTGTTTAGCTCCCCTGTGAAAAACAAATACCTGCTTTAGAATTCTTGTTTCTTTTCATTTCTAACTCAAGCACTTCCTTAGTCAGACTAATGAATCCTTCTGCTTTCCATAGTGATTAGCTCACCATTGCCTTAATAATCAGTTATTTCTTCTCATGACTTTAATGATTTGCTAGGCCTTTTTTTTCCATATTTTCCAGGAAAACATGGAAAGCAAAATAACATGACTCTTTCCAAATATTTCCCCCTTCTTTTCCCACTAATTTTCTTTTAAATTTTCCCTATTTATCATGCAAATCTCAGACCCAGAAGGCCAGTATCCATATATGGTCTAGTTCTCAGAAAGTTTATGAATGCTTGCTGATGGTAAAAAAATTACATCTGCCTGTTTGAAATCTCCAATCTTCTCTTTTCTAGCATCTGCACATCATTGCATCTTTTATTCTTTTGCATCATTTTCTGTATAACATGTTACTAATTCAGCTCCAAATTTTATTCTTCATTAAGAAAATTGTGGGTTTTACTGAGATTTCCCTAGGAATCATTTTCATTAAAATCAAGATTTTGCAAAAGCATGGCAAAAGGCATGATGCAAGAGAGAATAACCCCTTCTACTGTTCAAAAAAGAAAAAAGATACAGAAGAGCTGTATCTTTCAAAAATATTTTGCACATGACTGAACTGTTATTAACTTTGATCTGTTATAACAGACATATGAGAGACAAGAAAAGAATTGGGGGGTTGTTGGGTTTTTTCCCCAAATTCAAGCAGAAATGCCTTGGATGCAGATGAAATCTTTGTCCTAATACAGAAGGCTCCTATAGTCAATGTTGGGCAATTCAAGGAGAAAAAGTAAGCTGCAGATTAAAGAGAAGATTTGGCTAAATTCCACTAGGGCCATGTGCTATTTCATTTCAACATCAGTGTCTCTACAGAATTTAAACAAGACAGATAGAGAAGGCCTCAGCACTGTCAAACCAGGAAACTGATTTTTTTTGCCTTCTTGACCTCATTGCACATTAAAGATTATAACGATGTGACAGCATATTTCGTACAACATATTTTGTATCACCACAGGAAGCTTAAACACAGTAAATACAGAAGTTCATGCTGCTCTCCAGATTTGTTCTGTGTAAATCCACAGCCCACTATTTATTTCCTCACTAGACTGTCCATTGGTGTTATATAAGACAGCAAGACTTGCTGTTGCAGCTGCTACTGAAAACAGAGCAGTTTGGTATCTCCTCAGTGATGGTACTCATCTAATTTTTTTGAGTTCTTTCACTTACAATGTAAACTACTTTTAGATCTTTTCTTCATTAATCTTTCCAGAAGCACTGTCTATTTTTGCTGCCAATGCAGCTGGTCCACTGCAGATGCCTGGGCATTCATTCAGCTCTGAAGCAAGGATGCTATCCAAATGCAAGCAAACAAACAGTACACTACACTGCTTCTGATGAGCAAGAGGATGGAAATAGGTTGTTAATGTGACTAAAAGTATACAGTTACCACCCCTACAGTATCTGGGTGCATTACAATTTGTAATAAACCTGTGCTTACAATTCGCCTGTGAAATAAGAAAGCTATAAAACACTCCAAATTTACAGATTAAGAAGTGAAGCCCAAAATCAAAACAGGACTGGAGCTGGAATTGCACTGCAGGCAGAATTTAACATCCTAATGCTAATAAAGCAGTCTATGCAATGTCTTACATTCTTCACATCTAGTTTTGTCAAATAACAGGTAGGCATCTGAGCTGTTGCTGTTATGGTTGCCCATAAGCACAAGCTTATCAAGCTGTTTAGTTTGCTGCTGAAAGCCTTTATGGAGTCTCACAGCAAAGCTTCCCAGTGGTCATCTCTCTAATGGGGCACAACCTGACGAGGATGCTTCACCCATGTTACATGAAGAATAAAGACTCTTCTATCTAACAGTCTAAAATTTAGCCCAGACATAAATTAGATGAGTTACATTTTTGACGTCTGCTACCCCAAGAGCTTTCATTCTCATATCTCATATCCTGAGAATGCCCTTGCCACCACCATACTTAACTAGTGCTGAGATAAGTTTTGAAGCCAGGCTGTTAATCAGTTAGAAATGCAAACATTTATGTGGAGGGAGAAGAAATAAGTGAGAAAAGTTGCAAAGTCATGCCTACTTCTGGAAAGGAGGCAGAATTTTAGACACAATTCTTGGATGTTTCTTACCATTGGTT